CCCCCCCCCCCCCCCCCCCGCCTCTTCTTTGGAAAGGCTCAAGGTCCAAGCGGGCGAACATTACCTTAGAGACAGTGTTGCTGGGCAGGGAGTCGTCCCCAGGGCAGAGGGATCATGGATGATAAGTACTGCACTTCCCCTGACAGCAGTTTCATTTGGCCACTGGCCCCGTTTCCGGTTGTAACTACTAGGGGACCCAATGAGTTTTGCTGATAAGGTATCACAGTGTGTCTCTAGTCCGCGGTCAGCACCTTAGCCCTGAGCTTCACGGGACTACTGGCAGCAGTTCCAGGACAGCAGGGAGATGTCGAGGTATTTCTGGTAACAATCACATCACCCCTGACAGCAGTTTCATTTGGCCACTGGCCCCGTTTCCGGTTGTAACTACTAGGGGACCCAATGAGTTTTGCTGATAAGGTATCACAGTGTGTCTCTAGTCCGCGGTCAGCACCTTAGCCCTGAGCTTCACGGGACTACTGGCAGCAGTTCCAGGACAGCAGGGAGATGTCGAGGTATTTCTGGTAACAATCACATCACACAAATGCCTACATTCCGGCTTCCTTTCTCTTTATCCCTACCACCAAATTTGAAGTCACACCTTCTACTGGATTGCTAAAGTCCGCGCTCAGGGGTGGGTTGCTGCTGCTGGTTGTTAATCTATAGGGTTCCACCAGGCCAATAAAACCAACATAGCCAGATACTTCTTTTTCAATAGGAACTTTCTTCGTCTTTTTGCCCCCAGAGAAAGCCTGTTTGTTTTCGCCTGGGTTTAACAGTGGAGTCTGTAAGCAGCGCTGCTGGGTTTGTGTGCTGGGAGAAATTCAAAAATGCCCTGCTCTGAAAGTTACTCAAACTGAAATGCCTTTGTTTTTCTTTTGCAGAGACCTGTCCTAGACATTCATCTCTCTCTCTCTCTCTCTCTCTCTCTCTCTCTTACACACACACACACACACACACACACACACACACACACACACGCTTTATATACAGTCATTCATGTCTACCTATGAATAAAACCTCGAGTTGAACACACAGTGAGACACCTATATATATATGTGTGCATAGGGATGGGTATATATATATATATGGTGGTACTAAGATCACAGCCTCTTCTGAGTGCACACCCATTATTAATTAATTTATCAGGATCAGTATTAGTATGAGGTCTTAAACATGAAAATGCCTTAAATAAACGTGTGCATAGGGATGGGTGTATATATACCCATCCCTATGCACACGTTTATTTAAGGCATTTTCATGTTTAAGACCTCATACTAATACTGATCCTGATAAATTAATTAATAATGGGTGTGCACTCAGAAGAGGCTGTGATCTTAGTACCACCACTATTCTGTGGATTGAAAACAGAAAGATTTTAAATCAAGTATATTTGCAGGAAGCACTTGGTGGGGTTCTGCAAGGCCCTTTGGTTAGTCTTATCTAATATATTCATTAATGATCTAGTGAAAGTTGACTAATACTGATCCTGATAAATTAATTAATAATGGGTGTGCACTCAGAAGAGGCTGTGATCTTAGTACCACCACTATTCTGTGGATTGAAAACAGAAAGATTTTAAATCAAGTATATTTGCAGGAAGCACTTGGTGGGGTTCTGCAAGGCCCTTTGGTTAGTCTTATCTAATATATTCATTAATGATCTAGTGAAAGTTGTATGCAACTCATTAGTAAAGCTGGCAGATGCTTCCTAGCAGGGAGGAGGTATGCGCAAATGAGAAGACCGGAAATAAAAGGGACATAGAAAGAGGAGAAATATTGAATGCAAATAATACATTAGACTAGATTTAGGGAAACAAAGTCTAATACAGCTGTGGGGTAATAACTCAACAAACAGATTTTTCAAATGGGGCTTCATCCAAAGCCCTGCAGAGTTGATGATCAGGTACACAGAATGGAAAGGCAAACACAGCAAATTAGACTTGTGTTTATTTCTGCAGGCAAAGGGCAACACACCTATGAACTGAACACAAAGAGGTACAATGTGTGGAGGAAGATAATGCTCCTACCCTTGCATTCAGTTTTAGGCACCTTTGTGTCTACACTGGGGACCTCACAATAGCACAATGTACTCTCCCAACATAATGAAACCACCCCAACCAGGGATAGCTAGGTTGGTGGAAGAAGCTCATGTAGTGTAGACCTGGCTTAGGAGAAGATGGATCTGATTAAGTCCCAGCTTCCTACAGGCTTCTTGACCAAGCATCATAGCTTCTCTGTGTCTCTCTTGTACCATGGGTAAAGTAGCACTACCTTATTTCACAGCGGAGTTGCTCTGAGCATGAGGGACTATCAGGCAGATAAAGAGGATTAGTAGGGAATGACATAAATGGCATAATTTAAGCAAAATAACATCAAAGATGAATAGCAGGAAACTTTTCCTGGCAGTGAGTTCTATTAGGATGAGGAATAACCTCCTTAGGAAAGTGCTGAGAAGCTCTATTGCTAGGGGGCACTGAAACATGGATTAGAAAAGGCGCTGGTAAAAGTAGAATAGGGACAAAGCTCTTGTATTGGCTAGGAAATGAACCAGATGATCTAATAGGTGTTTCCACTTCCCGTTTTTGGGAAAGCCATTTCCATATTTAAAACAGAAATGAGTACAAAGAAGCAACACATCATTTCTCAGCAGTTAGAAGAATCAGGGTGGTGTTTAGCTACAAACCAAACTCATACACATTTACAGAGACAAAGTGGATAAAGTAACATCTAGTCTCTCAAAGATCCTTTGACCAACAGGGCTATAGCACATCTACATATTTGGCATTCCAAGTCCCTTCATAAACTAGAGGTCATAGAATGGAAACAAACCCAGACAAACACTTACATTTATTGGATCAGCTCCTCAGTTGAAGTAAATCAAGATAGATCTATTGACACATTTACCTACAGCGATGTACCTCAGTGGAGGATCTGACCCACTATTTTTAGCACATATGTCTATCTATCCTGAAGATTGTAGCATCTAGACCACTCAAATCTAATAACATTCTTTACCCCTTTTGTAAGGGAATAATGAATCAAGCTCTTCCAAAAGGCAAAGAAAAACATGGATCAATTAACTACTGCATTACATCCATTTTAACCCACCCCCTAATTCCATTGAAATTAATTATACCAGCATTAAATTGGACTAACATAGTTGGGAATCAGGTCCATTGTCTTAATTCTGACCATGTCCATTTATTTTGCAATTATGTTTTTAACTGTTCTTCCCCAAGT